CATGATCCATCCGCCTTGGCTTCCCAAAGTGCTGGGATTACAGGTGTGAGCCACCATGCCTGGCCTAAATGAAGCTTTTTAATTATTTTCAGATCTAGGTTTAGCAGAGAGAGAGAGAGAAAAAAAAAAAACTATCCTGAATCCAGCACAGAGAAAAAAGGAAATGGAAAATATGGACAGCGTAAGCTATAATGGACAAATAAAAAGATCTAACATGCTAATTAGAGTCCTAGAACAAATAGAATAAAGAGAATCAAAAGATTCAGTATTTAAGGAAATAATGGGTCAGCATATTCAAGAGCTAAAGAAAATCATGAATTGACAATATAGAAAGCAATATATATCAAGCTAGATTTTAAAAGTATATCTAGAGACATTATAGAGAAATTGGAGAATACTTAAGACCAAGAGATCTTAAAAGCAGAGCTAAGACAGAGCAGCCATTGTAGAGCACTCTTTTTAGAAGCAAGAGGGCACCGTTACACTGGCAGTAAACCTCTCAATAGCAACAGTAGAAGCCAGAAGACAATAAAACATCTGCCGAAAGAAAATGTCAATCTAAAATCATGCTCTCTGCACAGCTAAAGTTCAAAAATGAGGGCAAAATGAAGGTACTGTCATTCAAACAAATGGAGAGAATTTATGAAACAGCAGGACAACACCCAGGGAGCTCCTAAATGGTAGACTTTAGAAAGAAGGAAAGCAATCCCAACAGGCAGGAGGATGAAAGGAGGAATCATGAGCAAATGAATTGGTAAACATGTAGATAACTAAAATCTAAATAGAGTCTATAAGTAATGTTGATGTCTAAATTCTGAGGATTGGTGTGTTGCAGTGGCTCGTGCCTGTGGTCCTAGCTACTTGGGAGTTTGAGGCAGGAAGATCACTAGAGCCCAAGAGTTCAGGGTTGCAGTAAGCTATGAGTGTGCCACTGCACTTCGGCCTGGGGGACAGATGGAGAACCCGTCTCTAAAAATAATAAAAATAAAAATTTACAATAAATAAATTATAGTGATTAACAAAAGGACAGCTAAAATACTGGATAACAACAGCATGTAGTTTGGGAGGAGATGAACAGAGTTAATGTTTATACATCCTCATATTTTTCAGTGTAGAGAATGATTAAGAGAAAATGAGTGTATAATATCTAAAATAGTACAAGATCAAACAAGTAGTAAGACTCAATTTTTTAAAAAGCAAGGAAAAAATGGTTAGAAAAAGCAAGTCAAATAAGCCTAAATCAGAGGATAGAAATAAGTCTAAATAAATCAGTAATGACTCTCTATAAATAGACCAAACCATCAGTTCAAAGACAGATTATAAAATTGAATTTTTAAATGTAAAAAACTAGAAACTATATGAGACATATTTTTTAAATGACACCAAAAAGTTTAAAAGGAAGAGAAAATATGCTACACAGAAGTTAACCAGAAGAAAGCTGGGATCAGAAAAATAATGAACTGTCAAAAAAGTAATATTGGGGATGGAGAAGGCTACTTTGTAATAATAAAAGATTCAGTTCAATAGTAGGTAATTCTAAATCAATATGCATCTAATAAAGAGTATAAATAAAATTGATATAATCATAGGGAGAAGTTGACTAATCCACCTTTATATAGTGGGAGATTCCAATACGTTGTTCTCAATTTTTTTTTTTTTTTTTCAACAGAGTCTCACTCTGTCACCCAGGCTGGAGTGCAGCGGTGCGAGCTCAGCTTACGGCAACCTCCACCTGCTGGATTCAAGCAATTCTCCTGCCTCAGCCTCCCGAGTAGCTGCAGGCACCCACCACCATGCCTGGCTAATTTTTTTCTATTTTTAGTAGAGATAGGGTTTCATCATGCTGGCCAGGCTGGTCTCCTAACCTTGTGATCCGCCCACCTTGGCCTCCCAAAGTGCTAGGATTACAGGTGTGAGCCACAGCGCCCAGCCTGTTCTCAATTATTGATAGGTCAAGCAGACCAAAAAAAAAAAAAAAAAATTCAGAGCCAAGTGAGGTGGTGCACGTCTGTAGTCCCAGCTATTTGGGAGGCTAAGGCAGAGGATTGCTTTAGTCCAGGGGTTCGAGGCTGCAGTGTGCTATGATAACTCCTGTGAATAGTCACTGAGCTGCAGCCTGAGCAACATACTGAGACCCTGTCTCCGAAAAAAGAAAAAAACAATTAGAAAATGGAGGATTTAGGCCAGGCACAGTGGCTCAAGCCTGTAATCCCAGCACCTTGGGAGGCCAAGGGGTGGATCATGAGGTCAGAGATTGAGACCATCCTGACGAACACAGTGAAACCCCATCTCTACTACAAATACAAAAAATTAGCTGGGCATGGTGGCACACGCCTGTAATCCCAGCTACTAGGGAGGCTGAGGCAGGAGAATCGCTTGAACCCAGGAGGCAGAGGTTGCAGTGAACCGAGATCGCACCATTGCACTCCAGCCTGGGTGACAGAACAAGACTCCATCTCAAAAAAAAAAGAAAAAAGAAAATGGAGAATTTAAACACCACAACACAAGATAACAAGTATGGTTTATTAGACAAACATAGAACTCTGTATCCAATAATTAGAGAACAGCACACTTTCTTTTTCCCAGCACACATTTGCAAAAATTGATCATGTATTGGCTTATAAATTAAGTCTCAATAGATTTTACAGAATCAGAACCTTACAAGCCACTGTTCTGGCCACATTGAACTTGAGGTAAAAAAATAAAAGAACTTAAAAAAAAAAAAAACTATAGTAAATTAGAGTAACATTAGCTAGGGTAACTGCTACATCTCACTACTTTAAACCTATAGGCTTTTTTGGTTTACCTAATAGTCCCATGTGGTTATCCTGGTCAGTGAGGGTTTTACCCCCATGAAGTGATTGAGAGACCCAAGCTCGTTTCAGAGTGAGACTCCTCCTTCCTCTTAGAGTCTCAGTGTCTTCTTTACTCAACTATTCAGGCTTTCTAATAGTTTTATTCTTAGTTTTAATAAATTTTTGAAATTTTTTCTATTTCATCTGCATTTTCAAATGTATTGACATAAAGTTATTCATAATATTCACAATATTCTCAATTTTTAAAAAAATTCAGCTAAATCTGTATTCTTTTTGACCCCAATAGTATTTATGTATGCTGTTTCTCATTGTCTTGATCTATCTTGCCAGAGATTATTAGTCTTTTCAAAGAGTTATCTTTTGGCTTTGTTATGCCTGTCTGCTGGTGTGTGGGTGTGGGGGTGTGTGTGTGTGTGTGTGTGTAGACATATACAAACATAATAAAAGAAATTTTTTTCTTTTTAAATATGGCTTTTATCTTTGTTATCACTTTTCTGCCTCTGATACAAATCTAATTAAGTGTTCTAGCTAAATGAAGGAAAACAAGCTAAAGCCAGTTTCCTGTCCCAACCAAATTGATCTGTGCCTTAATATTAGTTACATTTAGAAAATTATGCTCTATAGTTGTTATATTATTTTGTATTTTCTGAAACATTTTCTGTTAGTCTCTTTACTAGTCTAGGACTTTCTGTTACAAGGGCAACTCTTAACTCTCAGTAGCTTAAGCAAAAAAGGGAACATATTGGCTTGTATGGTTGAGAAGGCAAGTGTTGCTGAGAGCAGGTATTCAGTGATGTCATTAGGAATCTCAGCCACATTTTCTTCTAGATCTGCTTCATCCTCCCATAGCCTTTCCCAGTGTAGTGGCACAATGGCCACCAGCCAGGCCAGCCAGCCTTGTGTCTTGTAAGCCTAGCACCTCAGAGAAAAAGAACCCAGCCCAAGGGCTCCAGCACAAGTTCCAGGATTGACTGTTTCAGCCTGTGCCCACCCCCACAACTGGTCACTATGTGTATGTGGAGTGGGGGGATCATTATTCAATGCCAGTCAACCTGCATGGGCTAAGAATGAGGGAGAGGTGGTTCCCTAACAAAACGGGTACATGAGTGTATCCAAGAGAGAGAGATGAAGAGAATGAAGGGAGGGTAGGGGGTGGATAAATGAAGAGAGTCATGTTAGTAGAAAAGGGAGATGCTGGGCTGGTGAGAACACCTGATGTCCCCTGGTTCTTAGTAAATGTTGAATTGGCTCAACAAAAGAGCAAAGGAAAAGCTAATGGGAGTGGAAGTATTAAAAGGTCATTGAAAGGAAAACTGGGCAGAGAGATCATCACAGTGATAACTGCCTTCCTACCTGGAGTAGTTCCATCATCTGCTGGGTAGTACCATAGGAGCACGAAACACATTTCCGTGCTCTACCTTCTGTTTCAACCAACTGAAATTTCAGCTTTAAAGAGATATCCTTTTCATTGTGATATGTATCTCCAGGATTCCTAGAAACGTCTGTAGCCACTAGTCACATGTAGCTATTTAAAGTTAAGTATAAATTAATTCAAATTAAATAAATGTAAGGACTCAACTTCTCAGTTATGCTAGCCACATTTCAAGTGCTCATTAGGCACATGTGGCTACCATATTGGATAGCTCAGATATGGAACATTTGTATCATCACAGAAAGTTCTATCGGACAGTACTGACTTAGAGCAATAAGCTGTTACCAGCAATTTGTTGTTATTAGGTGTCTGTCTAGTGACCATTACTCAGAATTGGTTGAGAAATGTTGATTATGACAGAAGAAATGAGAGAAGCTGCCTTGGACCATCTGTTAGCCCTGTTTTCACTTCTTTAAAGGATTTCAGCTCCCTTAGGACTTTGCAGTGGATCTCCAGATGGGATAGTCTCTGCCATCACAGAGCTGGAATTCCTGATGATCCCTTTGAAACAAGCCCAGAGAGACATCCAGGGACTGTAGCCCAGGAGCCACCTGAGAGCAGTGGTGCTTGGGAGAAGGGGAGCTTGAGAGGCTCCTGGTGTCAAAGCCCTTGAGGAATGTATTGTTTAAGGCAGTCAATACTCATTGTCAGGTGTCATAAATGTCTACCCCTTGTCATGTACTTGATCATCTTTTAATGTTACATAAGTGAGATAAAAACTGATTTTTTTCCTTTTTCTTTTTATTCTGCAGACCTATCCCTCTTTGCTCTGTTGTTATGATAAATAGCCAACTTGATAAAGTTGAAGGAAGGAAATTTTTTGTTTCCTGTAATGTTCAGAGTGTTGATGAGAAGACCCTATACTCAGAGGCGACAAGTAAGAAGCTGGTCTTATCTCTTTCTTGGGGTTTAGTTGGGTTGGGTTGGGAGTTTTGGTTGATTAGGGTTTTGTGGGGGTCAGGGGGGTGTTTTGGTTTGGTTTGGTTTTTTGCCCGGGTATGATAACCCACACATGCCAAAAAATTCTTAATTCCCTGTCGTGCAAAGAACAAGTTAAAGATATTCTTATACATTGCTAGTAAAGGGCGAGTTGCCAACATCTATCAAAATTACAGCCCAATGCAGAAGCTCATGCCTGTAGTCCCAGCACTTTGGTAGGCTGAGGTGGAAGGATCACTTGAGCCCAGGAGTTCGAGACCAGCCTTGGCAACATGGCAAGACCCCATCTCTACAAAAAACACAAAAAATTAGCTGGACGTGGTGGTGTGCGCCTGTAGTCCCAGCTACTTGGGAGACTGAGGTAGGAGGATCCCTTGAGCCCAGGAGACGGAGGTTGCAGTGAGCTGAGATCGCACCTCTCTGCACTGCAGCCTGGGTGACAGAGCCAGACCTTGTCTCAAAAAAAAAAATTTACAAAGTGATGTGTCCTTTAACCCACCTCCAGGACTTTATCTCACAGGTATAATAACTGCAAAATTATAATGTGTTAGATTGCTATCAGGTTCCAGTGATTGTGTCACTCATGCAACATTATTTGCAATAGCAAAAAAAACAAAAATGGCAAAACATGGCAAACATAGCTATCCATCAATAGGAGACTGGTTAAAGAACTACAGCTCACCTATAAACTATATTGTATGTATGTGCCATTAAAAAATGGTGAAATACTGTGATGCCATAAATAAGAAAAATATGTCTATACTTATGTGTGTGTAGACTGTCCCAGGAAAATCACACACATGACCTGTTACTTCCCAGGAGTACTGAGGTTCATCCATGTTGTTGACTGTGTTCACTTGTTTATACCACCGTGTAATACTCCACGTGTGACTATCCCACAATGAATGTCTCTCTTCCGATGACAGGCCTCTGACTATTACCAACGGGGCTGCTATAAACATTCTTGTTCATGTCTCCTGGTGGTGTGCATGGGCAAGAGCTTGGCATATACTTAGGAATAGGATTTCTGGGTGGTAGAGTATTGCGAGTGTTCAGCTTTACAGAGGAATGCAAAATTGTTTTCTAAGCCTGTACCAAATTAAACTCCCACCAGCAATTATGAGATTCTTTAGACTCCCATCTTCTCTAGCAATTAGTGAAGTCAGACTTCATTGTTTTTGCCAGTCAAATGATTATAAAATGACTTCTCGGTGTGATCTTGATTTGCATTTCTCTGATTACCTGTGTGGTTGAGTGTCTCTTCATATGTTTATTGACCATATTTTTTCCCATTCTGTGAAATTTTTGTTTGTTTAGCTTTTTTCCATTTCTCATCTTCTTACTGATTTATAGACATTCTTTGTATATTTTATATCAGAACAATTTTTTTTTGTTGGATATATAAGTCGCACATACCTTCTTATGGTGTGTAAGTTGTCTTTTATTTGCTTTAAGGTATCTTCTTTATGAACAGAAGTTTTTAATGTCAATTTAGTTGCATTTATTACATTTTTCCCTTTATGGCTAATGCTTTTTGTATCTTGTTTAAGAAATTTATTTTTCCTCTTAAGTGTGAAGCATTTGCAGGAATGACGGATAAAAGGAGCAGGTGGAAAATAATAATTTAAATCCACAGTCAATTTAAGAACTCCATTCCAGGCTGTGGTTTATACTTCTTGTCTCACTAAACCTTTCAATATCATAAAGGTGCCAAATGGCTCTCTTGTAATTTTAGTTCTTTTCATTTCCCTGACTATCTCTAATGGAAGTAGTAATGAACCATGAAATGGCCAAGTTGTGAGGACCTGGTTACCCAGGGAGAGGTAATACAGTATTGTGATAGTCAAAAGTTGATTCTTAATTTGGCTGCAAAATGAGAGTGGACAGATAGACTGAAGGGACAAATGTGAATCTAATCCCTCTTTTGTATATGTCTTTCCATTTAGAGTAGTCCATCAGATTGAAGTCAGTTGACAAATAATCATCTGCTGTTATTTTGTTTGTTTAGGCATATTTATAAAGCTGAATCCTGCTAAAAGTCTGACATAAAGAGCTGCCGTTGAACTCCATCCCATTCTCTCCCCTCCAGAAGAAGCAGTTGTCCCCCGAATACTCTGCTTCCTCACTGCTGAATCCTCGTAGGGAGAAGCCTGCCAACAGTGACCTTCCAAAACAGCCAAAAAAGGTGTTAGCATTCAGAATATATAAGGAATTCTTACAACTCAACAAAGAACCCAGTTTAAAAATGGGCAAAGAACTTGAATGGACATTTCTCCAAAGAAGATATGGAAATGAGGCCGGGCGCGGTGGCTCAAGCCTGTAATCCCAGCACTTTGGGAGGCCGAGACGGGCGGATTACGAGGTCAGGAGATCGAGACCATCCTGGCGAACACGGTGAAACCCCGTCTCTACTAAAAAATACAAAAAACTAGCCGGGCGAGGCGGCGGGCGCCTGTAGTCCCAGCTACTCGGGAGGCTGAGGCAGGAGAATGGCGTAAACGCGGGGGGCGGAGCTTGCAGTGAGCTGAGATCCGGCCACTGCACTCCAGCCCGGGCGACAGAGCCAGACTCCGTCTCAAAAAAAAAAAAAAAAAAAAAAGAAGATATGGAAATGGCTAACAAGTATATGAAAAGATCCTCAACATCACTAATCATTAGAAAAATGCAAATCAAAACCACAATGATCACACCTACTAAAATGCCTATAATTTTTTTATTTTATTATTATAATTATTTTGAGGTGGAGTTTCCTTCTTGTTGCCTAGGTTGGAATGCAATGGCGTGACCTGGGCTCACTGCAACCTCCGCCTCCCAGGTTCGAATGATTCTCCTGCCTCAGCCTCCTGAGTAACTGAGATTACAGGCACCCGCCACCACACCTGGCTAATTTTTTGGTGTATCTTTAGTAGAGATGGGGTTTCACCATGTTGGCCAGGCTAATCTATAATTTTTTATTTTTAAAAATAGTGTCAAGGAGGATGTAAAAAAAATAGAAACTTCATACATTGCTGGGTGAATACAAAATAGTGCAGCTGCTACAGAAAAGTTTGGCAGTTCCCCAGAAAGTTACCATATGACCCAGCAATTCCACTGCTAGGTGTAAATACAAGAGAAATGAAACATACATCCACACAGAAGCTGTTACACTAGTGTTTATAATAGCATTATTTGTAATAGCCAAAATGTGGAAACAACCCAAATGGCCATTAATGAATGAAGGGATAAACAAATTGTGGTACACACACACACACATACATACATATAATAGACTATTATTCAGCCATACAAAGGAATGAAATACTGAAACATGCTGCAGCTTGGATAAACCTCAAAAGCATCACATTAAGTGAAAGAAAACAATACTATGTTTAGAATAGGCAACTCCATAGAGACAGAAAGTGGATTAGTGATTAATATGGTTTGGCTGTGTTCCCACCCAAAATCTCATCTTGAATTGTAATCCAAATTGTAATCCCCATGTGTTGGAGGCAGGACCTTGTGGGAGGTGATTAGATCATGGGGGTGGTTCCCGCATGCTGTTATAGTGGTAGTGAGTGCATTCTCATGAGATCTGATGTTTTATAAAGGGCTTTTCCCCGCTTTGCTCAGCACTTCTCTTTCCTGTTGCTGTGTCAGGAAGGATATGTTTTCTTTCCTTTTTGCCATGATTGTAAGTCTCCTGTATCCTCCCCAGCCATGCAGAACTGTGAGTCAATTAAACCTCTTTCCTTTAGAAATTTACCCAGTCTCGGGCAGTACATAGCAGTGTGAGAATGGACTAATACAGTGCTTACTAGGGGAATGAGGGTGGTGGGCATGGAGGAGAGAACAGGAAGTGATTTAAGTGATTACTTACAGTACCGTTTTTCTAGGGTGATAAAGAAGTTTTAAAACTAGAGAAAGGTGCTAGTTGCATAACATTGTGAATGTACTAAATGCCAATGAGTTGTACATTTTTAAATGATTAGGCTGAGGGTGGTGACTCATGCCTGTAATCTTTGGGAGGCCAAGGCGGGAGGACCCCTTGAAACTAGGAGTTCAAGACCAGCCCGGTCAACATGGCAAGACCCCATTTCTACAAAAGAAAAATTTTGAAAATTAGCCAGGCATGGTGACAGGTGCCTGTAGTTCCAGCTACTTGAGAGGCTGAAGTGGAAGGATTGCTTGAGCCCAGGAGTTCATGGTTGCAGTGAGCTATGAACATGCCATTGCACTCCAACCTGGGCAACAGAGCAAGACCCTATCTCAAAAATAATAATAATAATAATCAGAAATTGGAACCCTCATACATTGCTGGTTGGAATGCAAAATGATGCAACCATTCTGGCAGTTCCTCCAAAAGCTAAACAGAATTACCCAGCAATTCTAGTGGTAGGCTTATACCCAAAGGAACTGAAAAGAGGGATTCCAACAGATCGTTGTACTTCAGTGTTCATTGCAGAATTATTCATAATAGCCAAAAGGTAGAAACAACCCAAATGTCTACCTACAGATTAGCAGATAAACATAATGTGATATATACATACAATAGAATATGATTCAGCCATAAAGAGGAATGAAGTTCTGATACATGCTACAATATGGATTAACCTTGAACACATTATGCTAGTGAAATAAGATTTTAAAAGGACAAATATTGTGTGATTCTATTTACATGAAATATCTAGAATAAGCAAAATTGTAGAAAATATATTAGAGGTTACCAGGGGCAGGGGAGTGGCAGGAATGGGGAGTTATTGTTTAACAGGTACAGAGTTGGGATGATTACGTTTTGGAAATAGTGGTAATGGTTGTACAATATTGTGAATGTAATTCCTGCCACTGAATTGTACACTTAAAAGTGGTTAAAATGGCGAATTTTATGTTACATATATTTTACCACAACTTCAGAAGGTTATTGTAATTTACCAAAAACCATTGAATTGTACACTTTAAATGTGTAAATTGTGTATTATATGAATTTTATCAAAACAAAGCTATTTAAAAAAACAAAAAAGATAATACTAAAACTGCAAGTAGAGGCTGGGCACAGTGGCTCACACCTGTAATCCCAGCACTCCAGGAGGCTGAAGCAGGTGGATCACTTGAGGCCAGGAGTTTGAGACTAGCCTGGCCAACGTGGTGAAACCCTGTTTCTACTAAAAATACAAAAATTAGCTGGGCATGGTGACGGGCACCTGTAGTCCCAGCTACTCGGGAGGCTGAGGCAGGAGAATTACTTGAACCCAAGAGATGGAGGTTACAGTGAGCCGAGATCACGCCACTGCACCCCAGCCTGGGTGACAGAGTGAGACATATCTCAAAAAAAAAGCAAGTACAAGCAAACAATAAGAAGATGGCAGAGCTGACACTTGTACTACCAGGAGCCCTTTGCCAGCCACATTACAAAATTAAAACAGCGACTCACATGCTCAATTTCACTGATCTCGCTTTAAATACTACTATAAGATTTTTCTAGTAGAAAAATGTGAAAATATTATTTGTATTGATACTAAATAAAACTTTTAATTGTTAAAATTAAGTGGTCTGGAAACTATCAATCTCGCGTGTGTGATATTTTGTTTTAAAGTGTTTTGTAGATATTGTTTATTGCTTAAATTAAAATTGCCCAACCAAGGGACCTTGAAAGTATATATATTATTTTTCCCATTTCTGCCTTCTCAGGTCCTTCCTAAACATTCCCTTCACCAGCAGAACTTTTTCAGACTCATCCCACTTATCTTTAACTCTCTAAAATCTTACAGTACTATGACCTGAATCTTACTTAATTCTCTAATTTTTTAACAAGCTAATAAGCCAAAAAGCTCCTCCGGATGGATGGATGGATGGATGGATGGATGGATGGATGGATGGATGATGGATGGATGGATGGATGGATGGATGGATGGATGGATGGATGGATGATGGATGGATGGATGGATGGATGGATGGATGGATGGATGGATGGATGGATTTGAGACAGGGTCACACAGTTTGCCCACGCTGGAGTGCCGTGGCACAATCACAGCTCACTGCAGCCTCAACCACTCGGGCTCAAGTGATCCTCCTACCTCAGCCTCCTGAGTAGGTAGGACTACAGGCAGATAGCTTGAGCTTAGGATTTCGAGACTAGCCTGGGCAACATAGCGGAGGCTCCACAGGAGGAGAAAAGATGGCGAAGAGAAGCGATTCACAGTTTTTGGAATGTGTCTAGAAGCAGCTTGGTGGAGTGAGGGAGTTGCAGCAGGAGGGAGGAGAGCAGAAAGAGGCAGGAGCAGGGAACAAGAATTGGAAGGGGAAGGGGTTTGTAGAGTCAGGGCCATGAAGTAGCTCACCTCCAACGTGGGCCCCGTTCAGCCCCTTTGGGTGGCGGAGTCTGAACTAGGAGAAGCGGCCATGTGTGACCACAACTGAAGAACTGTGTCTGTCTGTTAAGCATCGTAGCAGTGGGAACCCAGGCCCACCTACTAGGAGCACCCAGAGGTGAGCCTCACTCTCGGGAGAGGAACTTCTTCACCCGATCCTGAGAAAGCAGTGGTGGCTGTCATCATGGAAGCAAGGGTGTGCTTGGGTAGCCATCACCACGGAAGAAAGACAGGCTCAGTGGAGGATGTGCCTCAGTCACCACAGGGAGCCATTGGAGACATGGCAGAGGTGACAGCAGCACCAGCATCCACCCTGGGCCCTTCAGCAGCCTCCCACCCTGTTTTCCACGTGAGGAGCTGGGGCTGCCCCCTTGGCCCTAGTGGCTCCTGGCTTCTTGGGCTGCCTACAGGAGGCCAGGAGGAGCAACCCTGAAGCAGGGTAGGAAATGACACGTTGCCTACCTGCACAGGTTGGAGGTGGCTTTGCAGCTCATATACTAAACTTGGGGCACCTTCTGTTAGACCAGTATTCACACCCCAAATAGTGTATGCACAGTTATGAATGACTTTAATGAAAATGAAGGTCCCTGCTGGCTGCCCTGGGAACATGTGCCCAACCTTGAACTGTGGCAGTTCACGCGCCTCCTGCCAGCCCTCCCCAGTCCTCACACTTGTGCTTCCAGAGCATAGCAGTCTGGCCAAGTGCAGATGGGGAGGGACAAAAACAGGAATGTCAACTTCCAGGGGCAGCTGACCTTAACCTTTTCATGAGCATATGTGCAATAGATTTAATGCAAGACTTTTACCCTACTTGGGAGAAGCAGTGTTAAAGAAGACATACAGAGGCTGTTTATGAAGAGGCAGTATCCATCTGCAAGTGAAAAAAAAAAGATGAATTGGCCCATAACGCTTCTCTTGAGTTGTTCAAACCTACTGCAATACAAGTAATTAATTGTGAAAAAAAGAGTGATAGCTATTACTCAGTTACAATTTGCTAGGCATTGTGTAAGCACATTATTTGTGTCACCTTCTTTACTCCTTAGATACTATTGATAGCCTCAATTTACATGTGAGCAAACTTTGTGAGGCTTAAGTAAATTCCCAAAATCACACAGCTATTCTATTAAGTAGGTACTCTTATTATTCCCATTTTACAGACGCAGAAGTTGAGGCAAACCTGGGATTTGTATCTGGGTCCTCCTGGCTTCAGATCCCAAACTTCCAGCATCAGGATTCACTACCCCTCCACAATGACCAACACAGAAGTGCGTAAAGGTGTGATGGTGTAAGTGACAGATCTTGGAGAAGGCAGAGGTGGAAGAGACATTTCCTTTATCACTGCACTTAAGGCCAGAGTTTCCCATTTGCAATTTTGAAAACATTATATTTTATAAAAAATAATACCCTGATCAAGAAATTGATAAAGTTAGGCCAGGCATGGTGGCTCACGCCTATACTCCCGACATTTCAGGAGGCCAAGGTGGGAGGACTGCTTGAGCCCAGGAGTTCAAGACCATCTTGAACAACACAGCAAGATCTCATCTCTACAAATAATTTTTAAAGTTAGCTGAGCATGGTGGAATGCACCTGTGGTCCCAGCTACTGAGGAGACTGAGGCGGGAGAATCAATTAAGTCCAGGAGGTCAAAGCTGCAGTGAGTCATGATCACACCATTGCACTCTAACCTTGGTGACAGAGTGAGACCCTGTTTCTAGGAGGAAAAAAAAGAAATTGATAAAGTTTTGATAATAAGGAAAATTTTGATAGTGGTATATCATTAGTGTCAATGTTAGGATCAGAATAAAACTCCTCTAGAATAATAAAGTAATGAGCAAATAAAAGTGTTAAGGACTGGAGTGGATGTTACAGAGTGGTCACTAATTATACATTAGCCTAATGTACGGTAGCCGAGGCGGGAATAGAAATGAAATAAATGTTCTAATTTAGGAGACAACACTTGGGCCATTGATTGCCTCTGAAATATGTTATTGTTCTTCAGGTAAAAAAAAAAAAAAAATCTCAGCAGGCGTAGATAAAGGTGACAAAAGGAAAACGTACTAGAAACAAGATTCAGGAATAATATCTACTTCACCCAAATCTAAAATATAGGAAAAATGTTTTCATAAAGTCACCCAAGTGCTCAGTTCATTTATAAAACACCCCCCGCAAACTTTAGCGATTTTCTAAAGAACTCTAGGGTTGAAACACGAACTGTAGCGCTTGAAAATGAGCCTTAGCCAGAAACACCACCTTCACCCCTCCCCTCTCTTATTTTGTCTCTGTTTCATCCCTTCTCTCCCAAAACACAATCTTCACAATGGGGACACGCCTCCTCCATCACCCCCACCCTATCCATCTCTGGGTCAGAAATGTCTAGGCTGTTGCTAAGATATAATCATGGACACCAGTTGTTTTCTTGTTTGTCATCTTCTGTCCCTTCCTCCCAGTCTTCTGCAAACAGAACCATGCTGACTTGGCAGAAAGCCCTTAGAGTCAAGCTGGGTGAGAGGACTGCCAGTCAAACCTGGCCACTTGACAAGCTTTGATCAGCATAGCTCCCCACCCCCTTGACCACAGACATTAGTCCAAGCAGGAGGCACATAACCTAACATTAGAGTCTTTCCTGGGATTTCATATGTGGATGATTGAAGGAGAAAACAGATTGAGATGGATTTTGGAAATGCCATCCATGAGGCTTGATGTGTGGATGGACAAGTCACGTAACCTCAATGAACTTGAGTTTTCTTCTCTTTACAATGAGGGACTTGAACCAAAAGCTCTTGGAAGCACCTCCAAATTCAGTCTGAGGGTTCTGTGGGGCTTCACCTATGATTAGGTCAGTTCGTCTGGTCCAGTCATGCCCTTTCAGGGACGAGATACCTGGCAAAATTATGCATCCAGGGAAAATTTCTCTTTCATAAGCTCAGATACAAGGTTGTCCCCTTTGCCATCATTTTGCCCTTCTCCTTATCAAAATCTACTTTAGGTTCCCATTTAAACTAAGAAGTAAAATACAATAACTAATTTTATGTTATTGTATGATATAATAAACTAATGTAACATAACTCTTACATTATGACCCTTCACAGGAATATTTATATTTTATTTTATTTATTTATTGTAACAGAGATGGGGGGGTCTCACTATGTTGCCCAGGCTGATCCTTGAACTCCAGGGCTCAAGCAATTCTCCTGCCTCAGCCTCCCGAAGTGCTGGGATTACAGGCATGAGCCACCCAGCTCAGCCAGAATACCTACATTTTAAAAGAGAAGCAAAACTTTATGATGAACGATGCATGATGCAATAACTATCAACATCACAATTTCTTAAACTCATTCCAAGGTTCCTCCACATAGAAACATATACACAGTCTTCCTTCCCTTCACAGACTTTGGAAGGTCTGTGTGTGCTTGTGTGTGGTAGGTATTATGGAGGTATTATAGAGTCAATGTGGGAGTGAGCAGATATATATGCGAATGTGTGTATGTGCATGTATGTGCATTTGTGTTTATGTGTGTAAGTTTATGTATGTGTGTGAGTGTGCATGTATTTGTGTGTATGTGAGTGTGTGCGCACACCCGTGTGTGTATTGTATAGACGTGTGTGAGTATGCATGCATGCATGCGTGTATGTGTGTGAGCGTGTACATCCACATCTGTGGATGTGTGAGTGTATCTATGTGAGTGTAGGTGACTGCATGTGCCTGTGCATGTACTAAAAGAGCCAGTTAACTCTGGAGCTGCAGTTGCTGAAGGTGGGGCGGAGAGGAAAGCCCACAGTGCCAAGAAGTCAGGCCAGCTCAGGCTAATAGAGGGTGCTGGGGAGAGCGCAAGGCTTTCTCTCTCACCCTGGCACCAATAAACTCTACACTGAAGCGGTTATAGCTGATGGAGCCACCAAGGCACCGTGGCCATGCCATGTGCCCAGTGCCCAGCTGTGGGCAGCAGAAGTGCCCCTCCAAGGAGGCCACAACTCCAGAGCTTCCCTGCGCTGCTGAAGGCCAGGAGCCACAGCCACAGGAAGGAAAGGACTTCCCAATGAATTATTTCTATGTCTTCATAGACAGAACCCAAGACAGCCTCAGAGCTACACACTTGCAGACAGCCCAGCTTCCAGGAGGGAAAGCCATGGTCAGGCTGGTTTAGTATGACCCAGTCTTTTCAGGGCACTCAAAGAATGGAGTGTCATTGTTTTCCCTCATCCTCTAGAAGCCCAAAGATAGAGCCCTACCAGCCCCCAGGGGAAAAAGTACCTGTTTTTCAGTTGCTAATTATTCCTGCCTGGGCTCAAATGGAAAGAATTCTGAGAAGAAAGGGGCCCTCCCCAGCGCTGACTGAACAGAGTCCTGAGGACCGGCTGGGGAGAGGGGAGGTAGAGAACCGTGGCTATGGGGATCTGGAAGGGAAAGGTACCCAAAGAGGGAAAGGGCTCCTTGTCTGGGGAACACAGAGGTAGGTAGGGGTGGCTGGGGGAGAACCTTGGGAGGCTCCCCTGCAGGGACAGTGCTCAAGAGCCCCACAGGAGCCTCCTGGGGCCTGAGGAGGACTTGCCTACACCCCACCCTCGTCCGCCTGCTGCTGTGACTATCAGCAAGGACAGTGCCCTACTGGGGCCATGAGACTTGCTCCATAGCCATCTGTTAGCCTGTGTTGAACACACTTCAACCCTGGGATGTCCCTGACCTTGAGGGAGGGGGCTGGTTCCTGGGCATCCTCAGCAGCTGGTGAAGTCCACATCACCTGTACTTGGAAGCCTCGGGAGCGTGGTCCCTGAGCTGGCTCAGGCACCTGAACAGCCCTGCTTCAGAGTTCTCAGAGGAGAAAGGGGCTCAGGATGTCAGGGGTGCCAGTCGTTTAACATGCTTCTTAACAGGAAAGTGGCCTTACTTTGTACCCCAAGCTGGTAAAGCAGATATGCTAGTGGCACTGTGTGGCTGTCCCACTAGTTTGAAAGTATCCCCTCTCAAGCTATGATCTGGATTTAAGGAGGAGAAGATTGCAGTACAGGGCTGGCCAGGGCCTCTGAGCCCCACCTCAGCATGTACGCATGCGCGCGCGCGCCACGCGCGCACACACACACATACACACACACACACACACACACACACACGCCCCTTCAGGATGTCACCACAGCTTTCTGAGCCTGGAGGTCGTGCCTCGCTGCCCCTTAGCATTTCACAAATAGGAACTCAGTTCTAGTTGAGCAGTGGTCAGGGCTCTGACATTTGTGGAATGGCCTCGGGTTTCCCCTCAGTCCCAACAGAGCTCCTGTTTCTGTCCCCTGCTGAGACCCCTGCATCAGCCCTGTGATCACACCGGCAGCTGCCCACACAGCCAACTCCTGCCTACCAGCTGTGTGGCTCCCCTAGGCAAAAAGTCCCTGTGCCATGGCCCAGTGGGCCCTTCAAGTCCAGCCTCCCAGGGTTCCTCTGGGCAGAGCGCTCAGTAACCATTTATTTTAGCTCCCATCCTGTGCCCCGTGTTTTGTCAAGACAGTCTTTTCCCTGGTCGTGGTGAGTCCTCACCAGCCCTGGACGGTCTGAGGGTGGGTTTGTGCCTTTCCCAAAGCTGCCCATTGGCACCTTTCTCCTGTAACAAAGACCAAAAACCTTAGAAACCAGATGAAGCACAAACCCTGAGGTACCATAGAGCCAGCTGATTCATTAGTTTCAACATGCAACAATTACTTTCCTTTTCAAAGAGTCCTCTGTGGGTGTCCAGGTGTAGAATGAATCTCAAGAAGGTCCCTCCCAGAGGGAACCAGGAAAAAAATGGCTAATCTGGGAAGAGTCACAGACTAGATCTGCGGCGGGCAGACAGGCAGCAGACTCCTGGAGGGCCTGGGAATGAGCTGAGAACGAGGGGGCAGGACCGGCAGCCCACAGGATAGGATCCAGTCAGAGGCATTTGGTTTGGCTCAGGCAGTATTTTTATAAATTACGATAGCAGCATCTGAAAGTTAGAAGTTTTCACATAAAAGTCTAGATTTGCGCCAGCTTTTCTTGAAAAAGCAGAGACGCTGGCAGCTGGGCCTATATCATGGTAACTCCCACATGGAATGAGGCCAGGGTTGCCCCCAAGTCCCCTTGGGTCTGCCCACCACCCCCCTATTATGCACAGCTGCTCTTGCCTAGCTTGCCTCTGACCCTTAGCTCTGCAGGTCAAGGAACCCAGCTTTCCTGAGGGCAGGGCAGCCTTGGCAGGAGTTTGACAAGGAGCCCTCCAGAAGTTGCCCGTGGTACACCTGCAGGGGCTGAATCTTCAGGTGGGATCTGACGTCTAGAGAAGGTCCTTCCTCATCCAGAATGGCGAGATGGGAATCAGCCCGGACAGCACCACTCCAAAGTGCTGGGAGTCCCACGATCCCATGGGGAGCCAGCCAGTCCACATCAGGGGAGCTCAGCACATGTCCAAGGTGATCTGAGAAGGGCTCCCAGGGCCACCCAAGACAAGGAGGGCTTTGGGAGACTTCTGGGAATGTTAATCATCTTCATGTTTCCTCTTAGTGGTTAACAGTAAATGTCTTTGAACAAAACATGTCCTGTGAAATTTGTTCAGGGGGCAACAAAGAGGACAAGGTGGGGAGACTGAGTACTCCATAGTCAGCCTTACAAGGGAAGGAAACTCCAACTCCAAAAGGTAGAGAAGTGAGAGTGAGTTTAGATCTGGAACCAAGAGCTGATCTGCTGAACCTACCAAGGCCTTGGTTACTCCTGCTCTTGCACTGTGAGCCAAAGAGGTTGCTCACGCAGTGGTATTGCTGGAGCCAGGTCCTACTGGTTTACAAAAGCTGATTGGGCTCACCTCCTCCCAACTGCACAGTGACTTCATATTGAGAGCTAGAAATCAGCCACCATGGGAATATTGACACTGCAGAAATGGGCAAATGCTACAAATCAGAGCTCCCCCAACCTCACCCCCAGCCCCAGGGCAGACTGTTACATGTTTGCCTGCACACCACTGCTGGGTCTGCTGTGGACCACCGGCAGATCAGGCCCAAGGCGTGCTTCTGGGCACAGGTCATACCCCAGGAAGAGAAGCTTTCAAACTCAACATGCACCCACATGTCCCAAACTGGAAATGAACCAGGCCGGCAGTAAGCTAAACCAAAACTCAGCAGGAGTTCTCAGTTGTGCTTAACCGGCACTGGCTTCCTCTTTTTTTTCTGATTGTTTCTCCAGAGACTCCAGGCCTGAGGAGGGGCTTTCTTGTCTCTGAGGTGAATTTTCTTTATTTTCTCTGAGCTAAATTCACACAGGAGAAGGGTTGGGGCTAAAGTTCATGTTGTCACAAAACCCATCCAAAGTATTAGCTGAGCACCTGTCCACCTCCCTGGAGAGTTGACCACTTGACCCACATCCAGGAAGGGCTTTGCATTGCAGAAAGCATCCACAAGGCGTGTGGAATGGTGGGAGGAGGAGTTGGAAAGGCGGAAAGGAGCACTTTCTCAATAATCCTAATTTTCTCTTCCTGGATGGCCTTGGAAACCTCCTTCACTCTCCTCCAGCCAGCCTAATTCGGGGCCACATCCATGGTTGTACCATCAGTTATGGATGTTCTTCTCAAATACCCTAATTCTTTCCTTCTGTCATGCCCTTGATCCAGCTAGAGCTGCTCTGCAGCATCACAGACAGTGCCAGAGCCTCCTGGTAGGGAAGTGAAAGTTGACCTCCACCAGTTGTCAGCTCCTTCCCTTCGCCTGTTTTCCCCTGGACCACATCATCCAGCTGAACCTTGGTAATTATCCACTCAAGAAAATAAAGTGATACAGGAAACAAATGTAACTGTAGTATGTGGCAAGGCTGAGAGCAAAAGTTACATAATCATAATTCTGTGAATATTTGAAAGTCAATTTAACCAAAAATCGTCAAACAACCAACATAGGAGGCAACAAGATATCCAGACCCCACTGGGATCACCATGGGAAAATCGCTGGGCGACAACCCAGCTGATGCGGCGCTCAGCCAATGAAACAGCAATTTCCTTTCCCAGGTTCACCAACGACTTTTTTTTTTCTTTTAATTGAGACACGGTCTCACTTTGCCACCTAGGCTGCAGTGCAGTGGCACAATCTGGGCTCACTATTGCCTCAAACTCCTGGGCTAAAGTGATCCTCCTGCCTCAGCCTCCTGAGTAGCTGGGACCACAGGCACACACCACCATGCCCAGCTAATATTTTTTCTTTTTTGTAGAGTTGGGGTCTCACTATGTTGTCCAGGCTGGTCTCGAACTCCTGGGCTCAAGTAATCCTCCCACCTCAGCCTCCCAAAGTGCTGGACTTAACAGGCATGAGCCACTGCACCTAGCCACCTACCGGCTCTTTATTTTTTTTGAGACAGAGTTTCACTCTTGTTGCCCATGCTGGAGTGCAATGGCGCGATCTCGGCTCACCGCAACCTCCGCCTCCTGGCTTCAAATGATTCTCCTGCCTCAGCCTACCAAGAGCTAGGATTACAGGCATGCACCACCATGCCCAACTAATTTTGTATTTTTAGTAGAGACGAGGTTTCTCCATGTTGGTCAGGCTGGTCTCGATCTCCCAACCTCAGGTGATCCACCCGCCTTGGCCTCCCAAAGTGCTGGGATTACAGGCGTGAGCCACCGCGCCTGGCCCTACTGACTATTCTTAGGAGGACAGCTCTTTCCTCCTGGGGCCACCTTGCTGGATCCAGCTCCCAGCTGTCAGGGTCGCCTGAGGATCCATCCCCTCTTGCTCCCCACTCGCCCTTCCTCTGACTTCTCTCCAGTTCACCTACCCTTCTTAGGATTTTTCTTTTTCTATCCTGTCTTCTCAAGTCCATCCTTCCAGATCAAGGATGGACCCAGAGAATGAAGGAACGCCAAGTGCCAGGGGAGGCCTGGGCAAGCCACAGGCACAGGGTACCAGCTACAGCTGTTGCGGTAAACTGAGGACCAGAGAGACAGATATGGAAACACAGGAGGATGTTTATTTTAAGGTAGGCACTGGCTCAGTGAATTCACATCCAAAAAGCTGAGCATTGAACAAAGACTGAGCAGGATTTTTATAAGCAGGCTTACAGAAGCAAAACAGAGGCAGTTCATCATATAATGACAGGTCACATAATCTATAGCATAACTGATGACTTGGCATAACTTGTGTCTTTGCATAGCTGGTGGCCTTGTAGCTGTGTGGAAAGAAAAAAACAAGAACTGGCTAAATACAGACAGACATTTGTCCATTTTTTTTCCCTTCATCCTTGCTCCAGACAGGGGATGTCTGGAGCCTATCCCTTTGGTTTCGACTTCTCGAACAGCGTTATCTTATAACTGTCTTTGAAGTGAGCTTGCTAGGCAGAGGAAAACTTGTTCTTCCTTTCTTTTTAACTTTTGCCTTGTCACATTCTGGGCCTTGGCTTTTACTTCTCAGACTAGGTCACTACGACCTTCTTATAGCCTTGTCTGTTACTTTTCTTGGAGTGAATGAATGTAGTACTTATTATTATTATTATTTTTAAATTTCTGCCTCACAGCAACGGCTGTGGCCCAGGGCTGAAAATGAGTGCTGCCAGATCTTCCCACTTATCTGGGGATGGCAACCAATTCAAATATCTTTGCTTAGACCCAGAGCCTGAATCAATAAAAAAAAAACTGGTTCCAGCTGGGCATGGTTCCTCATGCCTGTAAATCCCAGCACTTTGGGAGGCTGAGGCAGGTAGATCAGCCAAGGTCAGGAGTTTGAGACCAGCCTGGCCAACATGATGAAACCCCGTCTCTACTAAAAATACAAAAATTAGCCGGGCGTAATAGCAAGCGCCTGTAATCCCAGCTACTTGGGAGGCTGAGGCAGGAGAATCGCTTAAACCCGGGAGGTAGAGGTTGCAGTGAGCCGAGATGGTGCCACTGCACTCCTGGGCAACAAGAGTGAGACTCTGTCTAAAAAAAAGAAAAAAAAAACTGGTTCCCCCCAGTCCTTGAGGATGTTTAATTCAAACCTTTGCAGGAGGTGAGGAGAAATATTTATATTCCAGTCTTCTTCTAGGGCAACAAAATACAGAGGGTGAACCAAATATTTTAAATTTCCGCATTAAATCAGTTTCATCTTTCGGAATCTGCCAAAATTTCATAATCATCACAACTATTATTATCATCATCATCGTTATGATTCCACCTTTGCACAGGTCTGATTTTTTTTTTTTTCTTTTTTCCTGAGACAGGGTCTCACTCGGCCTTCCAAAATGCTGAGATTACAGCTATGAGCCACCGCATGAGGCCTGATCTTTAGAGCATGCTTTTATTTTAGTCAATTTAAAACTGGGACTTTTTTTTTTTTTTTTTTTTTTGAGGCGGAGTCTCGCTCTGTCGCCCAGGCTGGAGTGCAGTGGCACGATCTCGGCTCACTGCAAGCTCCGCCTCCCGGGTTCACGCCATTCTCCTGCCTCAGCCTCCCGAGTAGCTGGGACTACAGGCGCCCGCCACCACGCCCAGGTAATTTTTTGTATTTTTAGTAGAGACGGGGTTTCACCGTGTTTGCCAGGATGGTCTCGATCTGCTGACCTCGTGATCCACCCACCTCGGCCTCCCAAAGTGCTGGGATTACAGGCTTGAGCCACCGCACCTGGCTGCTAAAACTGGGACTTTTAATTGAAAATTGGCAGTTTAAATTCAATAGAAGACACAACGCCACCAAATAAAGCCCACCGCCTTGCAGATGTTGGCTGAGTGTCCCTTCCCACTCACAAAGCCTCACTGCCACGCTCACCTCACTGCCAGCACTGCCTGCTGACATCAGCCACTCCCTGGGCATGGGGTTCCCAAAGCATGAGAGTATATCTGCCAAGTTGTTTCCTCCCAAATTATGTTCTGCCCTCCCCATCAAGCCCTCCCCCACCCCAACTCCTATCCCCAGCCAGAGACCAGCAGGTGAGACTCTTCTGTGCTAACCCTTGTCTGGGATATAAGAAGAGGTGTCGGCCGGGCGCGGTGGCTCACGCCTGTAATCCCAGCACTTTGGGAGGCTGAGGTGGGCAGATCACCTAAGGTCAAGATTTCAAGACCAGTCTGGCTAACATGGCAAAAATACATCTCTAGTATACAACCCCATCTCTAGTAAAAAAAAAAAAAAAAAAAAAAATACAAAAATTAGCTGGGCGTGGTGGTATGTGCCTGTAATCCCAGCTACACTGGAGGCTGAGGCAGGAGAATCACTTGAACCCGGAGGCGGGGGTTGCAGTGAGCTGAGATTGTGCCATTGCTCTCCAGCTTGGGCAACAAGAGCAAAACTCCGTGTCTCTCTCTCTCTATCTCTCTCTCTCTCTCTCTCTCTCACACACACACATGCGCACACAGACACACACACACACACACACACACACACAAAAGAGGTGTCTAAGGCTGTGAGTTGGTTTTCTGAGTCACAAAATCATACCAGAGTTTTCAGTCTGGCATACACTGCAGAGCACAAACACTCCACCAGCACCCTCCAATCAAGGGACAGGCTTCCCTTATCCTTCTGGAAATATTCTTGGATTTTCCCTCAGAACTGCCAGGCAGCTCTCCAAGGCTCTATATACCCCATACTATTTGTTTATGTACTTGTTTACTCCTTTTGCAACTCAAGCCAGTCCTGCTGCCTTTTCATGCCCAAGCAGCATCTGCCCCTCCCCAAGCACTGGGTGGGGCTCTTAGACCAGTTAAAGGCGCTGAGCATCTGTGGGTGTTGCAACACGCCAGCCCAGCCTTGCCTAGCGCTCTGAAAGAAAGCCTGCGACAGAAGGGAGAGAAGTGGCCCCAAGTGCAGCTGAAAGCACTCCTTGGGAGTCAGCCAAGACCCTCCATCCAAGCAGGGCCAGATCCTTGCACATGGCCATGATAAGGAGAGGCTTCCAGGTGGCAGCAAGACTTGGCCACCACAGAGGCCTTCTTGGGGCCCCCCGTATCCTGCCCAGACTCAACCCTGCCTCAGCATTTGGATCCTCCACAGACTCCGTGGTAAATGAGTTCCCAACTCAGCCAGATAGGCAGTGTTTTCCCAGAAGCCTAGGGCTTAAGGAGCACCCCAAATCTCCTCTTCCCAGCCCATGGCCAGGGCAGGTGGGCAGTGTTCAGAGGAGCAATTTGATTTGGCAAAGAGAAGGTGCTCTGGGATACCAAGTAGCCCCCATTCAAAACTAAAACCACCAGGAGACCTGCATCTGGCTCTGAATCTTGTGTGGCCACCAACAAATCGCTTTCCTCCTGTGGGACTCAGACTATTGCAGCAAAGCTGAGGTATCCCCAGACAGAGGACCCTGTCTGTGGCATTGACAAGCAGCTCACATGCTGCCTACAGTTGTGACTGGTGTGTGAGCGGGTGATGCTACAGAGGACTTCCTTACGTCACAACACCTCTGTGGGGGCCCAAACGTGTTTCAAAGGAGCCACCCTGCCCAGGCAGGCCCACAGCAGTGGGCAGAGCTGGAGTAGCCCCTGAGGTGGGGGTTGCTAGAGTGGTCCTCAACAACTGTGGCCCTGCCCTGCAGAGGAGACAGCATCTAGTGCGACCACCAGCTCTCACATTCACATGCTTGGCAACCTTGGCCATATTCCCTCAGTTTCCCCATCTGTACAGTGAGGCTAACATGAGCAGTTGTCAACTTTAAAGAACTGCTCACATGTTTTCAACAGAACAGGGGTACATCAAGCAGCATGCCCATCATCTCTGGCCCCACTCCCTGCCCACCCTTCCCTTGCTCTTTAGCATCCCTGGGCCCCATCACCCATACGGGTCCGCAAACCCCCTGCAAGGAAGATGGGCCCTTTCCCTTGGATTGATACTCTGGCAGAAGGGATGGAGAAGCCCCAGCACCCAGGAGCACCTGTTTAGAGGTCCTGAGCCCACGCAGCAGCCCCACTCCAGGACGCTGTCTAGTCATTCTGATTTTTCCTGCCCAGTTCTCAAGATTCTTGCCAGAGAAGACAGAGTTGAAGGATGATGCTCTTCCCAATGCCAGCTGGTGTTTGGACATGCTGTGCCTGTACCAAGAATTTCTGGAGAAGACCAAGTCTAGCGGCTGGATCAAGCTGCCCTCCTTCAAGTCTAACAGAGACCACATCTAGGGACTCAATCTCCCATCTGGACTGGCAGTTTCCTCGGGTAAGGATAGGACCATGAGCACACACATCCCCGCCGCCCTTCCCTGTGTTCTAAGACTCTGAGAAGCAACTTCACAGACCGCCTTCCAGTTCTCAGCCCAGTTCTTCCTGCTGTCCAACTCCACCCCTCATGCTGCAGCCCCAGGTAATAGGCGGTGGGTGTCCTCTCAGGTCTCCAGTTCCCCTCCTCCCATCTGAAGCAGCACACCCTAGTGGGCCCACCTTTGCTCCCAGCCAAGCATGTCTCCACTGGAGGACAGCCAGCCCAGCTCCCGCCCTGACTTCTCACTGACTGCCCCTCCCTAACTATCAAGCCTCATTCCAAGCCTTCTGCCCCAACCCCATGAAAGCCCTTGGACCCTACACCCCTTCCACTGGAGGCCCTGCACATCATCCCTGCTTTGCCGGGTCTGGAGCAGCACTTCTGAAACACCTATTGGATCCTAATGATAGAGCTTCCACCTTCGTGTGTGTGCACACTCGCACGTGCACGCATGTGTATCTTCCTCATAGTGTATCTCTCACTCATATATGTGGTCTTCCTGCCTAGTGATGAAGGAGTGGTACAGGGGACAGATTACCCTTGAGTTTATGGCACAAACAAAGCAGAGATACCAACATAATTTTTTTTTAAAGAATTTGGTACTTCCAAAAAAGGATATAGCAGTGGTAGTTGTCTTGGGAAAGAAATCAGAACTTTGATGGATTTTCTGCTCTTATTTTACTGTTTAGTATTATTCTTTTGAATTATATGTGAGTTACATGAGTAATTACATTTTCAATTTTCAATGCTTATGGTCTCTTAAAGTCTTGCCCTGGCCCTGATCCTATCTCCATTCTCAGCCAGGGCACTTCCTGCATGCTTCTCCCCGAGATGGAAAGGCTCTGTGAGGACAGCAATTGTGCCTCTGCTCCCAGAGGGAAGGCTCCCTGGGGGTGGACCTGGTGTCCTGTGGGGAAAAGAAAGAGAGTTCAGACTATTACTGTGTCTATATAGAAAGAAGTAGACATAAGAGACTCCATTTTGTTCTGTATTTGAGATGCTGTTAATTTGTGACCCTACCCCCAACCTTGTCCTTGAAAGAGACATGTGCTGTGGTGACTCAAGGTTTAACGGATTTTGGGCTGTGCAGGATGTGCTCTGTCAAACAAGTGCCTGAAGGCAGCTTGCTGGTTAAAAGTCATCACCATTCTCTTAATCTCAAGTACCCAGGGACACATGCACTACGGAAGGTCACAGGGACCTCTGCCCAGGAAAGCTAGGTATTGTCCAAGGTTTCTCCCCATGTGAGAGTCTGAAATATGGCCTCGAGGGAAGGGAAAGACCTGATCGTCCCCCAGCCTGACACCCGTGAAGGGTCTGTGCTGAGGAGGACTAGTATAAGAGGAAAGAAGGCCTCTTGGCAGTTGAGATAGAGAATAGCATCTGTCTCCTGCCTGTCCCTGGGCAATGGAACATCTCCGTCTAAAACCCGATTGTATGTTCTATTTACAGACAAAGGAGAAAACCGCCAAGGTGCTAGCGGCAATGCTGCTCTTTATGCACTAAAAAGGTTTATGGAGATGTTTGCATATGCATATCAAGGCACAGCACTTTTCCTTAAACTTGTTCTTGTCACAGAGATCTTTATTCATATGTCTTACTGCTGACCTTCTCCCTACGATGATCCTATTATCCTGCCACTTCCCTTTTCTAAGATGGTAAAGATAATGATCAATAAATACTGAGGGAACTCAGAGACCAGTGCTGGCGCGGGTCCTCTGTATGCTGAGCGCTGGTCCCCTGGGCCTAGTTTTCTTTCTCTATACTTTGTCTGTGTCTCATTTCTTTTCTCAAGTCTCTCGTTCCACCCAACGAGAAACGCCCACAGGTGTGGAGGGGCAGGCCACCCCTTCAGTGTACTCTGGTTTTCTCTCCTTAATCTTGTACCAGAGGCAAGACTCAACCAAATGGTGCTGTATCCTGACCATGCCCTCCCTTCTCCGGCTGCGACACTGCCCATCTCTCCCCAGACAAGGGTGACTGTCGCATCTTCACCAGGTGCATCCAAGTGGAAGGACAAGGCTTTGAGTATGTCATCTTTTTCCAGCCATCCAGGAAGAAGTCGGTCTGTCTTTTCCAACCAGGCCCCTACCTGGAGGGGCCCCCAGGGTAAGGTCACTGGTAGGACCTTGGCTGCCTCCTGGGCTTGACTCAGCAGGCAGGTTCAGCATCCATCAGGCTGGCACTGGAGACTCCGTCTTTCTCTAAGCGGGGAGGATGAGAGTGTGGGGCACTGGGCTTCAGCCTCACAATACCAGGCCTGGAAGGACACACAGGGTTATCTGGCCTAATCCCCAGTGTGCAGATAAGGGCTCCTCATCAAAGTCTCAAAATTTTCCAGACAAAAGACCTGAGAGGCCACTTTGAGAAGAATGTGGTACAGTTGGAAGAGGGCAAGATCTGGACTCTAGACTCTGACTTCCTGTCCTGCTCGGCTGCTGCTGGCTGTGGGGCTCTGAGCAAGCAATTTGACCCCTGGTCTTTAGTCTTCTTACCTGAAACCTGGGGCAATAATATCTACCTGCCGGGATGACCAGAGATATGATATTATGGGCCTATGTGTGCATGCTCATGAACCATAAAGCACAGTATAGCTATCAGACACTTCTATCCAAAACCCATGTTCTACCCATGGGGAAATGGAGGTGCACACAGCTAAAGTAACTCGCCCAAGGCAGCACTGCAATCAAAGTCAGATCCAGGACAGTCGGATCTGGCAGGTGAGATTCCAAGTCCACTGTTTTCTCCACTCCCCTTTCCACTCCATGGTTGTCCCCCTTATCCTCTATCCCTATGCCTGCTCCAGATGGTCACTGAAGGCTGGAGGTGGTGCTGGAGCTCCTGCAAGGGAAAGAGAGACAAGAGAGGGCAGGAGTGGCTTTAGGGTCCTGAAGCCTGACAGGGGCTAAACTGGGGTTAAATAGAATCCAGAGTACTAAATAGATGTCAGGGCCTCCAGAGGCTGTGGATGCCAACTGCAGCCTTCAGTCACTTTGGCCATAGGATGTGCAGATACTATGAATTGTTCGGAGTCCTGTCCAGGCCATGGACTCCCTCCCTTCTGAAGCATGGCTGAAGCATGGCTGACTTTTATTTAGGAGCTGATGGAGGTGAGGCCAGAGAGGCAGAGGAGGACCATCCAACACTGAGGCTAGTCAGTGGATTGAGGGGTTGGGGGTCTAGAGAAGAGATTAGTATCCACAAGGCCCCTAGACCATGGGGAGTGGGAAGGGGGAGTTACTCGCTGGCCAAGAGCTACTCTGTAGATCCACATACTAGCCAATGGGTCCCCAGGTTGGCCAGTGAGGACAACATGTCCTTTGACACCAACTCTTTTCACCCTCTTTCAAGCAATTTGGAAGGCAGAGAGGGAAGTGCTTAAGAAGCCTGTAATCCCAGCACTTTGGGAGGCCGAGGCAGGCGGATCACCTGAGGTCAGGAGTTTGACACGAGCCTGGCCAACATTGCGAAACCCCGTCTCTACTAAAAATACAAAAATCAGCCGGGCGTGGTGGCAAGCGCCTATAATCCCAGCTACTTGGGAGGCTGAGGCGAGAGAATCGCTTGAACCTGGAAGGTGGTGGTTGCAGTGAACCGAGATCGCACCACTGCACTCCAGCCTGGGTGACAGAGCGAGACTCCATCTCCAAAAAAAAAAAAGAAGTATGTAAATTACATTTGCAAACATTTGTTTATTTAATCCGCTGAGATTGGAATTGTGAAATTCATGGTGGAAAAACTAAGGCTCAGAAAGGTTTAGCAATTTGCTCAAGACAAACAGGTAGTGAGCTGTGGGACAAGGAGTCCAACTGGGTGGGTAGAGACCAAAGAAGCAGGGAGGGAAGGGTCTGGAAAAGCCACTGGTCACAGGAGCAGGAGGGTAACCCATGGCAGTACAGTGTGCACAGCTGATCTGGCTCCGTGGAGAATTGGGACTGTGCTTTTGAAAATCAGGGACTCAAATCTGTTTGATGTTAATTGAATTCTAAAATTGGGTGCCTTTCTATTTTCCCCAAATTAGCCAACCATGAAGTAGCTGACATGAAGCTTGCATAAGCAAGAATGAACATTTTATGGTTTTTTTTTGTTTGTTTGTTTGTTTTATTTTGAGACAAAGTCTTGATCTGTTGCCCAGACTGGAGTGCAGTGGCGCAATCTCAGCTCACTGCAACCTCCATCCACCAGGTTCAAGCGATTCTCATGTCTCAGCCTCTCGAGTAGCTGAGTTACAGGCACTTGCCACCACACCCGTCTAATTTTTGTATTTTTTAGTAGAGACAGAGTTTCACCATATTGGCCAAGCTGGTCTCGAACTCCTGACCTCAAGTGATCCGACTACCTCGGCCTCCCAAAGTGCTGGGATTACAGGCGTGAGCCACTGTGACCAGCCATTCTGTGCATTCTGAATAAAGCAAATGTCTGCGGCATTTGAGCATTTCACCTCAATTTCAGCATTGAGCCTGCTGAAGTGGGCTCTCTGCTTTCTGTGGCAATGCTGCACAGAAGTGTGTCATGCCAGCCCTTGATAGGTCATAAGTTATGTTTCACATTTACTTATCTTGAGATGTGGGCCCCGCACTGGCTGTAGTGACTGGTAAGGTGAGAAACAGCCCAGGGTTGTGCCTCAAAGACTGAGTCACAAAGTTCAGGGACTTTTTCATTTCCTGTATATGCCCATCCTTCCAAATTATGGCAGTTGTTGCCAGCAATTAGGTAATGAATCAGAAAAATGTTTTCTATTAACTTTATCAGAAAAAAAAAATTTTCCCTGATGCAGTGTCAGTGGCTACAAAAGCATGCTGAAGCAAACCAGGAAAGCTTAGTTGATTTTGACCGGTCTGATCAGATGGGATGCACCTGTTTCCTTCTTTCCTATTTGGCTGCCCTGAGGCTGAAGGTCTATGTTTGGAAGGGTCTAGGGAAAGGGAGAGGTAGGGTCGCCACAGGAGGGAGGGAAGGCCCAGTGAGGGGGTCTGCCCAGTGGCCCCAGCCCAGGCCTTGCTCCTCACCTTATCCCCACCCCCAGGTTTACCCACAGCGGGTCCCTGGCAGCCATGATGGACGAGACCTTTTCTAAAACTGCCTTCCTGGCTGGAGAGGGGGTGTTCACACTAAGCTTCAACATCAGGTTCAAAAAGTAAGTACGGGCCTTCGGGGCATTGACCAAAGTCATAGCCCTTTTCATCCCTGGGGGTGGCCATCCTCAGCAACTGGGGTGTGGGAGCCCTGCCTGCCACTCTTCTTCCCCAGCCCACTCCCAAGCAGTTCCTCTAGTCCCTGGCCAGGACACAGCCTCTGCTGTCCAACTTTGGGAGCTGACAAAAAGGCCGTGAGCCCAGGGCCACCTAAGAGTCCTCAAGGCAGGGAGGGATGAAGAGAGGGAAGAGGACACAGAGAGTGAAGGGATGGGGAGCCAGGTTCACATGAAAGAAGGGCTAAGCTGCCTCCTCTCCCAGCTTGATCCCCATGAGCTCTCTGGTTGTAATGGACATAGAAGTGGGAAAGATTGAGGACCAGAAGCTTTACATGTCCTGCATCGCCCACAGCAGAGACCAGCAGACAGTTTACACCAAGTCCTCAGGTAAAGGAGCCCCCAGCCCAGCCCCAGGCCCTGTCCTGCCACCACCCACCCCCAGAACAAACAGGAGGAAGGAAAGATGCCAAGGATTCTTCCCAAGCTGCAGTCCAGCTTCTTTAGGGGAGGGATAGGGCACCTACTGGGGACACAGATGAAGTGAGGGAGAGCAGAACTAGGATTTTTTTTTCTATGTATGAGTTATCCAACCTGTAACGAAAGGACAAGACCCAGGTAATGGGTAATTTGGAGCCAAATGCTCAGAGTGTCCATCAAACTCCTGCCATCTCAGTGCAGCTCTTGCAGCTCAGCTCACCCTTCTCTTGCAGGTGTTTTCCTTCAGCTGCAGCTGGAAGAAGAGTCTCCCCAGTAACAGTCACTCTGCCTGCAGGAGAGCCTCCCACTGCCTCCCTGCCTGCCTGGGACCCACCAAAGAGCAACTGCTTCCTCAAGAAGCAGTTGGTGAGGCAAGGGAAAGGACCCTTTTCTCTGAGTAAATAAAGTCTCACAGCCCCATTCTCGGCCCAAGGCCTTTCTGTGGTTGGAAATAAAAATCCTTCCAGGGCATCCCATATACCCACCTTCCCACTCAGCACCGACTGTAAAGGTTTACTGAGTACCCGCCAGGTGTCAGACACTGTGTGAGGCACCAGGCATCCAGAAGTGAAAGACAGGGCCACAGCCTCAAGATGCACAATGCGGAGGTGAGGTGCCAAGTCACAGAGTGCCCTATCATGCTCCTCCCACACCCACCCTGGCTTCTATCATGAGTGCAGCGTCGTCTCAGAGGAAGGAGGGGGCAATTTTACTCTACAAAAGCAATCAGAAAACATCTTCTAGAAGAAGCTCTTCCTGAACTGTCTCAAAAGTTAAGTGCTGGTCACTAGGCAGGCAGGGGAGGGGAGGATATCCCAGGCAGAGAGAAAGTAAGACAAAGCAGCAGAGGTGTGAAAGTGTACAGGGGCTTTGGAGAAGAGCAAGGTGTTGAGCAGGGCAGGCATCTAGGGAAAGATAAGGTGGGCAGGAGCAAGCCACGGGAAGGCTTCATAATCCCTGCTGGAGAGCTGGAACTTTGTCTTGCAGGCAATAGGGAGCCTCTAAAGGGCTTGGGCTGGGGAGTGACAGAGCTTTGTTATTTAGAAAGATGACTCAGTGGCAGTAAGGCATCAGCAAGACTGAAGGCAGGAGCGCTGGTTAGGAGATCCCTGCAGGCTTTACACTAGAGAGCCTGCAGGGGTCAGAGCTGCGAAGCTGAGAGATATGGAAAAATGTTACAAATACAGGAAGTGCAGGACTTTGCCACTAGTTATACAACGTGGATCTGTGAAGAAGAGCTGTCTAGGATGACTCCAAGTTTCTGGCTTATGGGTTTCCAGGTGGTTATCACTAGAAATACAGAAAGAGATGGGGGTAAACAATGAGCTCAGTTTTACATGCATTGAGCTTGAAGTGCCCATGGAACTTGCACCATGTGGCAAGTGCCAGCAGGAACATGGATATTGTGATATGGAGCTCGGAGAGATAAGCTACTGACTCAAATTGTGAGCCAATATAAAATGTGACATGAGGCTGGGCACGGTGGCTCATGCCTGTAATCCCAGCACTTTGGGAGGCCGAGGCAGGCGGATGATCTGAGTGATTTGAGAGTCGAGAGAACTCAACTCATGACCAACATGGAGAAACCTCATCTCTACTAAAAACACAAAAAAATTAACCAGGTGTGGTGGCACATGCCTGTAATCCCAACTACTCAGGAGGCTGAGGCAGGAGAATCACTTGAACCTGGGAGACAGAGGTTGCAGTGAGCCGAGATCATGCCATTGCACCCCAGCCTGGGCAACAAGAGCAAAACTCCGTCCCAAAAAAAAAAAAAAGTGTGACATGAAACCCCTGGGAATGCCTTATGCAGAGTGGAAGTGAGGAAGAGGCAAAGGGAAAGACAGGGGTGGGGAGGGAGGGGAAAAGGGGAGGGAGGGAAGAAGGGAAGAGGTCAAAAATAGAACCAGAACCTTATGTTGCACTAAGGCTGAAAGTTGGGATAGAAGACCAAGGATCCACTAAAGAGGCTGAGAACAGGACAGGAGTGACCATCCTTAAGAAGAAGAGGTCAGTGGTATCAAATGTTGAAGAGAAGGCAAGGGCCGGGCAAGGGCCGTGGCTCAAGCCTGTAATCCCAGCACTTTGGGAGGCCGAGACGGGTGGATCACGAGGTCAGGAGATCGAGACCATCCTGGCTAACACGGTGAAACCCCGTCTCTACTAAGAAATACAAAAAACTAGCCGGGCGAGGTGGCGGGCGCCTGTAGTCCCAGCTACTTGGGAGGCTGAGGCCGGAGAATGGCGGGAACCCGGGAGGCGGAGCTTGCAGTGAGCTGAGATCCGGCCACTGCACTCCAGCCTGGGCTACAGAGTGAGACTCCGTCTCAAAAAAAAGAAAAAAAAAAGAGAAGGCAAGGAAGATGAGAATTAAAAAGAAGCTTTTGAGTCAGGAGTGGTGGCTCACACCTGTAATCCCAGCACTATAGGAGGCCAAGGCAGGAGGATTGCTTGAGGCCAGGAGTTTGAGACCAGCCCGGGCAACAAAGTGAGACCCCCATCTCTACAAAAACAAAAAAAGATAAGAAACTAAAATAAGTAAGTGCATAATAAAATTAAAAAGAGACCTTTCGATCTGGTCATGAAGAAAATGTAGTTTCCTTTGCCAGAGCAATTTTAGGAGATGGGACAAAAATCCAGATTACAGGGGATGAAAATATGAACAGGGAATGAGGAAATGAATGTAGATGCTTCTTTCCAGGAATGCTGTTGTTGTTATTCAAGGAAAGATATTTGACTGTATTTTAATTGCTAGTGGAAAGAGGCTAAAACTTTTAGGAGAAAGAGGGACAGAGGTGTCATCCAACAGAACAGCTTTCTTAGAGCTGCCTTGGGAGCCATGGGAGAGCGTCAGCATGACTCTGAGACCGAAAGGAAGGAGGTAGAGTGCAGAGCAGGACAGGAAGTTGAGGGGATTCAACCCGGAGTGCTTCAACTTTCCCAGTGAAATGGAAGGCAAGGCCATCAGTGAGGAAAGAGGTTGGGAGGAAGGGGGATGGTTTGGAAAAGCTGCTGTAGGGATCAGGAAAACAGGTACCAGGTACATGTGTGACCAAGACCTCCTGAGCGCCCAGCTGCTGGTAAAAAACAGGTATCTGGAGTGGCACCAACCTTAGGAGAAAGGAAGGTGGGAGCCAGCTGGCAAAACCCAGGGGCGATGGTGGATGAGTCAGATGAGAACAGTGGAAGGGGAGGAAAGACAGCAACATGGCTGGTACACATTTCTAAGGAGAAAAGATTTGCCGTGAGGGAGAAGAACAATGGAGGAGGTAATGGCTATCCAGAAGAAGTCTGTAGCTCCTCTGAGCCTGGGGAGGAGAAGGGTGAGACCAGCTTCCACAGGGACGGCTGTAAGAGACGGTGCCACTGCACTCCAGCCTGGGTGACAGTGAGACTCCGTCTCAAAAAAAAAAAAAAAGAAAATATGATCTAACTATATGTTTTTTGTCTGTTGTTTTTTTATAATCTACAAACTTTATTCAGATTTTGCCAGTTGCCCACTAATATCCTTTCTGTGGTTCAGGATCCAATTCAGAATCATATGTCACATTTAGTTGTCATGTTTAATCCCCTTTAATTTGAAACAGTTCCTCTTTCTTTGTCTTTCATGACCTTGACATGTCTTTTTTTTTTTTAATTTCCTTTTTTAGAGACAGGGTCTTGCTCTGTTGCCCAGGGTAGAGTGCAATGACAATGATCACAGATCACTGCAGCCTCAAACTTCTGGGCTCAAGGGAGCCTCCTGTTTCAGCCTCCCAAGTAAATGGGACTACAGGCACATGCCACCACACTCAGATAAATTTTATTCGATTTTTTGTATAGATGGGGTCTCCCTATATTGCCCAGGCTGGTCTCAAACTGTTGGCCTCAAGTGATCTGCCTACCTTGGCCTCCCAAAGTGTTAAAATTACAGGCATGAGCCACTGTTTGGAATTCAGTCCACTGATATGTTTCTCAGAGTACGAATTAGTTGTTTCGTAGCGTGTTCCAAGGTCTGGATTTCTCCAATGTTTTCTCATCATTAGACTCAAGTTATGTATTTTTGTCAGCAATATTTCAGAAGCAACGTTGTGGCCTTCTCAGTGCTTCATGACAAGAGAAACGTGATGCTGATTTGTCCCATTAATGCCAATGTTCCCTTTGATCAGTTGGTTACCGTGGTGTCTGCCATATTTCTTCACTGAAAATTACCATTTTTACCTTTTTAATAAGTATCTTATTGGGAGATACTTTGAGATTGTATGCATATCCTATTTCTCATCATACTTTTGCCCATTAATTTTAGCTTTTATTGATCATTCTTGCCTAAAGCAATGATTACTGTGATAGTGGTCAATGGTAATTTTCTAATGCCATCATCTCTTCAACATGTTTTCATCCTAACTATATGTTAAAGAAGAAAGTAAAATAGGGGGCCAGGCACGGTGGCTCATGCCTGTAATCCCAGCACTTTGGGAGGCTGAGGTGGGTGGATCACTTGAGCTTAGGAGTTCGAGACTAGCCTGGCCAACATAGTGAAACCTCCATCTCTACCATAAAATACAAAAATTAGCTGGGTGTGGTGGCACATGCCTGTAATCCCAGCGACTCAAGAGGCTAAGGTGGAAGAATCGCTTGAACCTGAGAGGCGGAGGTTGCAGTGAGCTGAGATCACACCACTGCACTCCTGTCTGGGCGACAGAGCAAGACTCTGTCTCAAAAGGAAAAAGAAAGTCAAATGGGTTTGGTGAGTAGCTAGCAGCCACTGCCTCAGTTTAAGGGGAGGGCCAGTAGAAGACGACAGAGTCTATGTAAAAACTCTTACTCTGGCAAGTAAAATATTCAGCTTCAGGCATATGCTAGGGCTCCAGGATCTGGGACTGGAGCTGGGGCTTCAGGGAATCAGAGAGAATGAAACCCTTTGTGACACGGAACCAGGTCAGAGAGCTGTGCACAAATTCAGCAGCAGAGGTGAGGTAGGTGGGTCAGGCTCCCTCTCCAGTACCTAGACCACATGCTTCCTAAGCCATCAATCTCACATGATGGGCAAAGGAGAGGTGGACATGGATTTGAACGGCCTCAATGTAGTGCCTTCCAAAAGCTAGAGATGTACCAGAGGCCATAGCCAAAAAGCTTATGACAACCAACTATTTCCTCTCCCATACACTCACATAAAAACTTTTTCTCCTGTGCTTTCACAGTGCCCAAGATATCTACACTCTAGACCCAGAAGCTAAATCACTGTACACTAAAAAACTGGTTGCCCTTCATCCATGGTCAAGGAGAGTCTAATCTTCATCCAGGCACTCCCAGAAGAAGGAAAGAAATACATTCCATCCTTCCTATGCAGTCAGGAAAAGGAAGAGGTTGGTCCAAGTGCAGTAGTGTTTACAACTAATTGATCACAACCAGTTACAGATTTCTTTGTTTCATATCCACTC